CAAATAGCATTGATTCAATATCAGTAAAGCAGCCGAACATCATCCTCGATTTGATAAATGCCTTTACAATGTGCACACAAAAATATCACTTCTTTCTGTATAGAGTTGTATCCTTGAAATGCACTAGCATTATTTGTTTTGCTTAATCCCAAAGTACCGCTCTCGTCATTGATGTGCCTAGAATTCCTGACTGTGATAAAATATTCATATGAATAAATTGTGACACAAAACTGTAACCTGATGTTTTTGCAAATCTGCTGTGTGATTCCCATAGTCAGCCTGTGTTGGGAATTTCTGAAGATGGCATCTCCATAATTACAATAAGACACAAACCGCAAAAACTCTGTGTCCCCCCCCAGGAAAAAACCAAAGCAGCATAAAAACCCCCAAAGCCAAAAGCAAAACTTCCAAGATCCCCCAAAACATTGAACTTCCTCAGAATAAAAGGTCTCCACAAATAAGAGAGACTCCTATATAGGACAGATTATTTTGCCTTACACCAAGCCATGCAATTCAGGTTTGTGTACCTTGAAAATTACATGATGACATTTTTATGGAATCCAAGCTATAGAATAATGCAACTATTAAGCAACCCTATTTTCTATATGAGAAATAATAACTAAGTTAGCTCTGAAGCAGATCCTAGATTGACATAATTTAGAAACATTTGCTGTATTGCGGAGAACTGCAAAAATATACCCCATTCTTCCAGGGGATTCCCTGCAGTCCACATCTGGCAATCGAATTCTCATTGTATGGGTCTGTCTGCCACAGCAACTCAGCACAAGAGTACTATCGAGAAAAGTATTTGTTACTCAAGCACATTAATATTATTATTGCCTATTTCTTTCTAGCATTCAAACATCACAAGCCATAGTGGATTTTGTTTTTCAGTTTAAACATGAAATTCAGAGATAACGAAGAGTTTCTCCTCCAAGAGAGACCTTCATTTGCCGTAGCAGTGCCCGTCGCAAGCCTGCACGCTTGCCACCACACTTTCGGTCTCCCCAGAACTGGGTCCTTACGCTTTGGGGCAAGGTCTGCCCAGGCTTCCTGCCCAAGTGCGAGGATTTCCATGAGGGCACAAAAGGCTCCATTTCACATGAAGCAAACCTGGAGGATTTCTCACTTGTGCTCTGTGGCCTCACAGTCAAATCACACTAAATTCCATGCTGGGAAATTGTTCTGAATTATCAATCATTCATCTGTTTTTCCTAATATCTTCGCGATTCACAAAATCCCTGCCGTAGTCCCTTGTCAGCTGATTCACTCAAGAGGCTGTTCTGTCCTCCTTACATCAGCAAGAGCATTGCCCCTGATTTCCTTTAGAAGCAGGGTTGCTTTTTCATATTCAAAGAGAAACGCTACTCAATATTCATAAGCAACAGCAAACCAAAACGAACAGCCTGCAGAATGACAATCTGCCAATGTTTAGGATGCTTCCAAAGGACCTACAAGCTTGCCAACTTCCTACCTATTTCCGTAATCCACAAGGAATGTTCTGTTTAAACAATTCCCTTCACTCTTCTCATTTTGCAATGTTTGTTGCTTCTGCGGTACCTTTAGAGTTCTATTTTATTTTTCCATGGATAGATCCATCCTCCCCCAAAAGCCTGATACAAAGAGCTTGTAATAAATATATATATATATATAACTGCTGCATGGCTGCCCGCATGATCTGAATAGGCATGAGTATTTCAGCCTTTCAGGCATGATAAAACTACAAATGCTTAAGCTCTGAATCAGAGTTACACAGGCCCCTGTACTTGTTAGATTCCTGAGCCTATTATGATCAGCTCTCCCTTCAAACCCTGTAGAAGCACTTTCCCTTTTTTTCTGGTTTTCTTCTCTCTCTTCCTGTGATCAGCACTAGATGCTTCTCTATTTGTCCCTGACGCTGTCTATTATTAACCCAGAGGCTTCTAACTGAATCATTAACTATTTCACTCACTTTTCTTCCACCGCCCAATATAAGAGTTTGTTCTGATAAGGAAGAATAACTCCAGACAGGAAAACTGACAGAAACATATTCCCCTCCTTCTTCTTGTTTAATATTAAAGGAAAAATCCAATGCTTAGTGCAGTGGTTGAACATCAAGCAAACCAAAGCTGTTATTGAAACCAGATAACTAGAAGATTCAAGACTCGCAGGTTACAGAAAAAAGAATGTGGAAATCTGTACAAGCACAACGGCAAAGGCAGACCCGAGTACTAATGAGCTCAAGGAGCTGTTCTGTATTTTCCCTAATGTCTCTATCTGTGAGATTAACCCCGATGCTGGGGTTACTGACTCTTGTTGTTATCAGATGCATGTCACGAATCTGAAATATTATCGCTCTCCATGTAGCAATACACATGTTGCCTCTCAGTAGAGAAGACGTTGGCAGATGGATTTACAATACCTCCTTCCAGAACCCAGTGCATTCTTGTTCTTTTTTTAGCTAAGCAGTCAAATCAGGTTATTTTGATACTTCTGGTCCATTGCAATGAGTGCTTAGGGCCATTCTCACTATCCTTGTTAAAATTCCTGTTAAATGTGGCAACTCTGTCAAACCTTGTCTTCGAACGCATAGACAATGTTCAATCATGAATGAGAGAGCTACTTCGGACCCGCCTCAATTTGGACCGCCAGTCAGGGGAGTTTGGGAGTAATGGACCAACCATGCAGCGTGACAGAACCCTCAGCAAAGAAAATACCCACTAACAGGACATAAAGAAGTTGTGAAATAGCTCCTTACCTGGTAGATCATGACTTTGAAGTTTCTGCGTTTCAGGAGCTCCGCTTCGTTGGACTCTAGCTTCTTTATCTGCCCGGCTTGCTTTTCCAGGTTCTGCCGAACAGTTTTCACATTGACGCTCACCTTGCGCACTTTTTCCAGCATCTTGTTCACAGTGTTGCTGGTGGTGGTGTGTGCCTTTGTCAGCTTGGTTAATTCTCCTTGGATGCTGGTCACTGCGCTATCCATCTCTTGCTGTCTCTCCTCCAGCTGTGTTTGGGTCAGCTGGATCTGATCCACTGCTCCAATGATCTTGTCCAGAAGGGTCAGCACCATCACACCATTGATCTGGTCTGTTTTGATGGGTTCTTCAGGCACTTGCTCCTCAGAGGCCTCAGAAGCAGTTGGTGGTTCGATAATTTGCAAAGTAGTATCCTCCATGATCGCTCGGGAGTCCTGGCTAGCAGAGCCCGGAGAAGCTGTCACTACAGGGGAGAGAGAGGAGGGAAAACTAAACCCGAGCCTCAGCTAAACTCTGTGCTGGGAGACACGCCAGAAATGGAGAGCACAGTGTGTGGATGTCTGTGCTGAAATTCAAATGGCACGGCTCTGCAAAGCTGTCCAGTGAAACTGCCCTGCAAAATTTTCCAGGCTTGCAGGTCATTGGCTGACTCCACCTCAGCTATATAAAAGGAGCCCGCTGCCAAATGCCTGATGACCCACCCTTTCTGAAATGATTAAAATAGTTGGAGGGGAGGCGATGGCTTTGCATGCAAACACAGGCATGGCTCAGCGAGGAATGTGAAGCTCTGAAACTACAACCGCCTCTTCTTTACCATAAGTCTAAAGGCACTATAAGTAACGAGAGGAAAAAACAAAAACCGGCTCGGGAAGCTGCTGGAAAGAAAGCAACCCCATCTGGGCACAGCTGTATATATTAAAGGAAGGCTGGTTTAAACAACTGCACACGTTAAAGTTCAGCTGGAAAATTCAGATCTTTTGCCAATACTCAGCTTTTTTCCAGGACTATGAGAGCCTGATTTTCAATACTTTAATGAAAGGCTACAGTTTGGATTGAGTAGTTATGGCACATAACTTCTGGATCATAAAAATGCACGCTCCCATGTGCGTGAATGTACACAACAGGCATAAACATGATATATACAGTGTGTACCACATCTCTGAGCAGATTTAGCACAGAAGGAAGACATATAATTCACTCCTGAAGTGAAGCAGCTGGCCACTCCCACCTAAAAGCAGCTATCTCAGCTCTGCAATCCTTTATTCATCGATGCATCTAATCGCTAGACTTTTAAATGCGGGACATGCTTCAGCATATGCCATGCAAAAACGTACTTGTAAGCAATGCCCGAATACATTGTGTTACATAAGGCTCTGGTGGTAAAAAAAAAACCAAACTCATTGTTTCAGAACTTAATACAGTACATATTGCTTTGAAAAACACGGGGAAGAAATAATTCTTATTTTGCTAACTTTTAACCTCCGCATCGACACAAAGCAATTCAGAGTCTTCTGTAGTGTTGGCGGAAGTGTGTGCCTCATGGAGCCATCATCAGCTTACTGCCTTGGAAGACGCTCGGGAGGTGCTACCAAAGGCTGTCTACAACAACCCAGCAGGACCAAGCACAGGAATGTAGGGAAGGAAAATTCAGATCTTGAGAGTGGCCCTGGGTGAGACCCTCTTCACTATCCCTGGTGTTGGCTCAGCCAAAGGAAATGAAGCTCCCAGGGACAGAACTGCTGTGAAGCCTCTGCTGGCTTGGGCAGCAAAAGCCCTCCCAGGCTCAGCTGAAGGGCTGTGGGCAGACTGGGAAGGCTGCAGTTTCCCTCTTGTCCTGTAGCCTTGACAACAAGCAATTCATACTCGGCACATCCTGCCTCCCGCCAGGGTCAAACCCACCTTTGCAAATTGCCACAGGCTGGCAAACAAAAATGGATGTTCTACAACACTGGATTTCTCCAGGCTCACAGCCTGCCTCAAGACAGTGCTGGGAGAAATGCTGAATTCCGAGCGTACAAGCTGGGAAACCCACAACTCACAAACGGATGTACAGGAACATTGTTTAATGATGAATGCTCGTGACAGTCAGCACTTTTCATGCCCCTGTTCTCTACCATGTGACAGCTCGCTTTTTACTGCTGTTGTACTCACGCTGCACCATTGATCTAGATTTGGTTTCACTGTGCATCAGTAAATTGTGCTCTGTGGCTTCCACAATAGGTATTATGTCATGTATTAAAAATAGGTTGCTTTTCTATACCCTGTTTTTTCCTGGAGGGACCTTTTTCCTGAGGATTTATTTCCAGTGTTTGCTGATGATGAGTCAGTTCCATGAAAAAAATCCTTGCTCCAGCCAGATAGCGTTGAGGCTCTGCAGTTGTTTCTCACTGGGGATATCTGCTTGAGAGTGGATTTCCACAGATATCTGCAGTGAAGTTTCTGATTCTATGATTCATGTACAGGGCAGGATGTAAGCAGACCAGTGCTCTCTTTCTAGGTCTGCCATCTATTCCATGTGTGACTTCAATGCAATCTTTGTGCCTTTGTTTCCCTATTTGGGGATAATAAAAAAAAAAATCAGACTGAGTAGGTCAATCTAGATAGAACCAGATAAAACAAGAGAAGAGGAATTTATCTTTGTTCTTGATACTCAGCGGAAGAGATGAAGTGCCGAGATGAAGTGCCACACTCGGTGCTTGCTGTGCACGCAGCAATCACACCCCAGGCTAAAATGTGATGAGTAATTTTCTATGTTAAGACTAACTTCATTTCAGCCATTTTCTGCCGTGGAGACATACCCAGAAAAGCCAACAGGTGGCAAACTGCAGCCTTCCCCGTGGAGCCTTCACACTGACTTAAGCACACAGAACAGTGAAATCCACCTCAATCTCTTCTAGCGCAAACAATTTCTTGGTGCTCTCATTGCACAGTAGATACAGTTTGATCTTTGGCTCTTCCAGGCTTGTGCTATGTCTTAGATATTACTGATCATTCCAATATCCCAGCGATTTTATAGCACCACTGCTGAATTCTTTACACGAATCACAGAACCATTTGGTTGGAAAAGACCTTTAAGATCATCGAGCCCAACCATACCTGCCACTACTAAACCATGTCCCTAAGCACCTCGTCTGCCCATCCTTTAAATCCCTCCAGGGATGGGGACGTGACCACTTCCCTGGGCAGCTCCTTCCAGTGCTTGACAGCCCTTTTGGGGAAGCAATTTTTCCTAATGCCCAATCTAAACCTCCCCTGACGCAGCGATAAGGGCTCCCCTCAGCCTCCTCTTGTCCAGGCTGAACACCCCCAGCTCCCCCAGCCGTTCCCCATCACCCTTGGGCTCCAGACCCCTCATCAGCTTCGTTGACATGGACACAGAACAGACAGTCCAAACAAAAACTAGCATATTTCAGCTTCAAAGAAAAACTCTGTCAGATGTATGCAGGACAACAAAAGAATACAATGTGCAGCATCTGCTTCCACATCAGTGCGGGGAAGTTCCTGTGACTAAAGGAAACCACTCAGCTCTCTAACTTCTTAGATACAGCTGCTTAGGGTCTGTCAGAAATAAGGAACATCCTTGGCTTGCAGTGGACAGACTCTTAAATTTCATCAAGGGCAGTTGACACAATTTGTCCCTTCACTTGTAACTTCAGTAGAGCAGAAAATAACTGGACAGAGAAAAAGAAAGAAAATGATCCTGTTTTCCAAAGACCTGGGGATAAGTACAGGGGGAAGAAATGTGCAGTTTTTGTGCAACCTTCTGTGCTGTTAGATGCATCCCACAGATGAGGAGAATTCAGCTTTATAGGCCATTGCCAGTGCAATGCATTTGACAGTCACCAAACCCATTTCATGACAAATCAAGACACGTTATTTAAGTTTTTAACTTGCTGTTTCATAATCAATTTGAGAGATGTCAAACATCAGAATGAAAGCAAAACCTGAGAGCATTAGCAGCCCTGCCACTGCCATTTCCATCACACAGCCCACTAACCTCACTAACAAAGCCTGAGCCTGCTGGCATAGGGCATTGCTCCCCAGGACTGCAGCCCACCACACTGACGTACAGCGTCGTTATTTCCTTACATACCTGCAGGGGGTCTCTCATCTCCTAGGAGCTCTTAGGAGCAGTGCTTCTGAGCTTGAGCAGCACCCACACCCCCATCGGTGCCCCTCTGTCAGAGCATTACAAATAAGCACATAGCAATAATTAGGGTTCTCCACTCCAAAGGAGGCAAATGCCTGCCCAAATCCCGAAGGGGCCCCACGCCTCTGCCTTGCAGTGCACCACAAGTGGCTTTCAAAACAAAGACAACCATGTGAAAAGGGATCTGCAGATAAATCATATTTTTGCTATCGCAAAAGCTCCTCTTTTAATTATATCAAGACTCAGCATTTACTCAAAGACATGGTCAGTAAGTAGAAATACTTGGAATTTAGATATTTTAACTTAAATATCTGTGATTTTTGGCTTCCATCCCAATGAACCATGTTTCCACTGACAGCCTAGTGCAGAAAACCCCTGGTAGGCAGGGAGGTTTCTTGTATTTAATTGGATTTCTGTGTTATGAAGTGCTCTACCCATGGGTTAGCCTTTGGGCTGCTGGAGGGAATTGCCTCCACTGACGCGTGCTTGTACAACACCTGGGTTTAGCCCTGAAGAGCTCTTCTTTCGCTCTTTTGTTTCTCGTAACTCTCTTGACTTCAACAAGGAAACTCTGATCTTGGGCCAGCTGGAGTGAGAAGGCGGCGAGGCTGAGGCGCGCAAGGCTGGAGCACC